GGCAGGACATGCCTAGGGCTCAGGGTTTGGCTCTTCAGTCGGGGTTTCTGGGTTTCTCTGATGGCAGACGTCCTCAGATTTGGCGTGCGGGAAGGTCGAGATGAATTAGCAGGCAATGGAGCCTCTGTCATTTCAACCCACTGAGTTTTTACAAGCATGTCAGGCTCAAGTTAAGTGTGGAATTGATTGATTCGAAGATAATTATTGGTGAAAAAAAAGCGCACAGATGTTTCTGATTAGGGTTACTAGAATTTTGGCATTGTTGCGTAACTGATATTACATTTAAAGGAATACAATACTGTTCAAAAGTTTGGGGTTGGAGAGATTTTTTAATGTTTTTGAAAAGTCTCTTATGCTCACCAAGGTTACAATTATTTAATCAAAAATACAGTAAAAACAGTAATATTCTGAAATATTATTACAATTTCAAATAACTGTTTTCTATTTGAATATATTTTAAAATTTAATTTATTCCTGTGATGCAAAGCTTGAATTTTCAGCAGCATCATTACTCCAGACTTCAGTGAAATCATTCTAATATGCTGATCTGCTGCTCAAGAAGCATTTATTAGTATTATTAACGTTGAATACAACTGAGCTGCTTAATATTTTAGCAGAAACCATGTCTTTACTGCCACTTTTGATTCATTTAATGCATTCCTGCTGAATAAAAGCATTAATTTTTCATATAAAAAGTCTTACCCCAAACTTTTGAAAGGCATAGTGTACTTCACTCAAAAATGAAAATACTACTTACTCTCATTTCATTTCAAACCTGTGCATTTGTTCAGTGGAACACAAAGAAGAATTATAAGGCATCTTCAATTTGCTCTTTGGGTTTGGAACGACATTATGGCGATTCAGTTATGACAGAATTTTCATTTTTGGGTGAAGTATTCCTTCAATGAAAATTTGGAGGATTTAAGCAAAGCTTGTAAATGTAAAACACGTGTGAGGAGGAAAAGCGTTAGACATCTAGATGACAAACACTTCCTGTTATGCGCCTGAACTCACAAGTCTTCTGTCTCGAAAAAGGAAGTTTGATTCATGAGCAGATGGGACTATGTTTGGCATGACTTGGCATGACTTGGCATGACGTGTCTTGCCAAAAAGATGTAACATATTTAAGTGAGAAAAGACACGGTCACACAGAGAGACCCGGATGAAAAAAATGTTATTGAACAGAGGTTGCTCTTTCAAAGAGTTTCCAAAAGTGACTGTATGATTTTGAGATCCATATTTTCACACTGAGAACAACTGAGGGACTCATACACAACTATTACAAATAGTGAAAACATTTACTTATGCTCAAGAAGGCAACACAATGCATTAAGAGCCGGGGGGTGTAAACATTTGAACAGGATGATGATGTGTAAATTCTTCTCATTTTGTTTAACAATCATATTTTTTTCATTTAGTACTAGACTTCAGAAGCTACATAAATACTTAAAGGGGTCATATGATGCTATTTTAAAGATCATTATTTTGTGTATTTGGTATAACAGAATATGTTGACATGCTTTAATGTTCAAAAAACACATTATTTTTCAAATACTGTACATTATTGTAGGTCCTCTACACCCCGCCTCTCTCAAACACGTCGTTTTCAACAAAGCCCCCTCCTTTGACAAGCGCAGTCTGCTCTGATTGGCCAGCTGACCCAGTGCATTGTGATTGGCCGAACACCACAAGCACGCGTCGGAAATGTAACGCCCCTTACCATAATTGGGAGCTTCAGCTTTCAAAGTAAATATCAAGACAGTTAATAATGTTGTTAGTTTTACCATCAGTTCAAGCCCGAAAGGGCAACAGAGTCGCGTGACAGACACAGTGATGATGCAGTACACAAGCCGCGGTTAAGACAGCTGACGTGCTATGATTTCTGACAGACAGTTCACTCTCCTGTGATGTGACCCTGTTCCCCTCACACACACACACACACACACACACA